GGGGGACAGCGCCGAGCTGGACCCCGACGTGCTGCAGCGCCCCGAGCGGGCCCGGCTGAGCGAGAACACCCGGCTGGCCACCCGCTACGCGGTGCGCATCTTCCGGGAGTACCTGAGCGAGAAGGCGCAGAGCCCGGACTTCGAGACCATGGACAAGGGGGCGCTGTGCCGCGTGCTGCGCTCCTTCTACGCCGAGGCCCGCTCCAAGAGCGGCCAGCTCTACAGCAAGTCCTCGCTCATCAGCATCCGCAGCTCCCTCAACCGCTACCTCAACGAGCCCCCGTACTGCCGCACGCTCGACCTCACTAAGGACCCCGAGCTGCGCAGCGCCAACCTGACGCTGGCCGCGGTCATCCGCAAGCTCGAGGAGCAGGGCGCGGGGCCGGTGGTGCAGAAGCAAGCCATCACGCGCGCCGACCTGCGCAAGCTCTACACTTCCAGCGTCTTCAGCACCAACACGCCCTTTGGGCTGCTCAACAAGGTCTGGTTCGAGACGTGCATGTACTTCTGCACGCGCGGCCGAGAGAACCAGCGCGAGCTGGAGGAGGACTCTTTTGGGCTGGCCATGGACGAGGACGGCCGCAAGTTCGTCTACTTTAAGTCCCTCGGGCCCTACCACAAGTCGCGCTCTTCCTCGTGGAGCAAGAAGCGCGCAGAGAGCAGCGACGAGGAGAACTTGCCCCGCATGTACGAGACGGGCACCGAATTCTGCCCCTATGCCAGCTTCGTCAAGTACCTGTCGAAGCGCAACCCCCTCTGCAAAGCATTCTTCCAGCGGCCCCGGGACCACTGCAGTGAGGGCGATGTAACCTGGTACGAGAACAAAGCCATCGGCAAGAACTTGCTGGGCACCAGGATGCAGATGCTCTCTAAGGCGGCCAAGCTCTCCAAGACCTACACCAACCACTGCATAGGCGCCGTCTCCATCGCCACGCTCAATAGCATAGCTGGCATTGGCACCAAACTGGGCTCGCCTGCCCCTCAGGGCTGCTACTCCGAAGCTCTGAACGGGGCGGCCCGCCACCACTCCCACCACCCCTCAACCCATCCCTCCCACCACCACCGCCCCCAGCCATCCTCGTTGGGCAACACCTATATCCTTCCCAAAGACAGCCAGGTCGGGCCCGACGTGAAATCCGAGGCTGCGCCCAAGCGCGCCCTGTACGAGTCGGTGTTCGGGTCGGGGGAAATCTGCGGCCCTTCTTCCCCCAAACGACTTTGTATCCGACCCTCCGAGCCTGTGGATGCGGTGGTGGTGGTTTCGGTGAAACACGACCCCCTGCCTCTTCTGCCAGAAGCCAATGGGCACAGAAGCACCAATTCTCCCACAGTAGTTTCACCTGCTATTGTTTCCCCCACCCAGGTAACCAAACCAAACTCTATGCATGAAATGTTTCTCTGGTGGCACTTGGGGACTAACTTGTGCAGGTCTGGGTTGGGGGGAAGTTTTGAAAAGTAGCACGTATACTGAACCGGGTTTGATTTCACCTTTAACGCTCTTGGGGCTTTTCAGGAAAGTTTACACCTAATTTTAAACGATTTGAGAGGGCCTGCTAACTGACCAATCACTGCTTCCGGGTAACACTTAAAAACTTCAAAGCTCATAGAACAAAAGTTCACCTCTCTGCAGCCTCCCTCCATTTGAATGCATGAATTTTATAAGACAGAGAGTAGGATTACAGTACATGTCATGGAAGCTGTTACCTAAAATATATTTGATGAAAGCAATCATTAAAATACTTAGATGTGCACCCTAACTTAGAAGGGTAGAAAAAATGATGAATTTTTAAAAAGAAAATATGCCAATCCCACTTCCTGTAAGGGGCTAGGGAATGGAGAGGCTGGCAGTTGAGTGCCAAATTATACTGTAACATGTAGTTGAAAGTTAAGTGAGTTTCCATAAACTAAAATCACTTGTCAAAGTTGTTAGTCACATGAAAATGTGGTATCTACACTCCGGTCCAGGCACTCTGCCCTCTGGTACACAACATGCCACTGAGACACTCCTGTGTGTCTCTAGCCCATGGAACTCACCATCAAGAGAGTACCGAAGACTTGGAAAGATAAAGACAAAAAAAAACAGAATTTGAAGTAAGTGTGCTAGCCTCTGAGCATAGGCATCTTGGGTAAATCAGTGCCCCTCTGAGCTTCAGAGTCCTCGTGAAAGATAAGGAGCTGTGTAGACACTAAAATTGTTCAATTCTAAGTTGTACTAAATTCTGGGTCCTGATTGGAGACTGAGGTGGTCACCTCTTGTATTATTTTTCCTAGAGGAAAGTGTTCATGTTATTAAAGCCATACTCATTTTTTGGATACTCTTCTGCGGGAGCCAGTAACCAGATGTCTTTGGGGGCAGGAACAGCCACTGGAGGTTTTTTACAGCACATGCAGAAGTAGGAATTTCCACTTTAAGTCAAGAGGTGTAGTGCAGGCCCTTCAGGAACAGATGTCAGGAGGTACCTCTGTGGAACCTTTTTCCAAAGTGGAAATTCCAGTTCTAGACAAACTGACCCTTTCAAACGTTTGCCAGCTAATCAGCAAGCTTCAAGGCCAACTGAGAAAGGGGCTGTGAATGGTAATATAAACACTAAAGTTCTGTAAAATACACAAGACCTGTAGGCTCTGTGTCTCTGTGCTTCCAGTGTGTGGAGTACATTTCTGACAGGCCAGGAGGTTGTTTTAAGGAATTTGAAGGATGGACAGGAGAATTCTTTCTTTGGAGAATTGAGGTTTGCTTTTTCTGTGAAAGCAAAAATAAATGTTCACAGTCTTCTGGTAACGTAAAAACCCTTAAAATGTCCTGGTTGTGAGCTGCTTCTGATTTATTAACAGTTAAAAGCCTGTGAGAGTTTATTAAAGTATATATCTGCTTGGAATAATAATGAAACAATTTGACTGCTCTTATCTTGGTGCTGGTTTCTTGACCCCAGTGTCATAGAATCATGAGTCAAAATCTACAAAGCATTGGGGGAAGGGAGGTGTTAGATCATTCAAAATCTTTTAACTGAGGGAGATAAATCAGTCTGTAAACCTAAATATTGATTATTTATTGTCTGATAACTCCCAAGTTCAATACAGATTTTTGTGGCCATGTGTTGGTTATAACTGTGGCTTTCAAACATTGTTTTTGTTAATAGTCTTGTAGTTAAAACACTACAGATGTTGTTCTTTTTGCATGTATTTATTAGTCAGCTTTCACTTCTATTAAAGTTACACTTTTTAATCACTGTTTAGCAGTTTAATGGCACTCCAGTAATAACTGTAGAGCTCACTGTCTGAATTTGGAGCACTCTAAATATGAAATGGATGTTTAGTTTAAACAGAAAACTGATAAATAAATTAAATTTATTTCCCCTGTATTGATTAAAATCACAGCAAGATTGAGGTCCAGAGCATTTCCTGGGGATTTATAGCCAACTGGAGTTACTGGCCCAGAGCATTGCTTTAGGTCATCAGTTCCTCTGGCCCGTCATTTCCCCAGGAAATGCCCTGTGTACCTCCAACTTCGGTCATTATTACTTAATTATAAACATAGGCTCTCTAACTTTCACACTGACTTAGCCTCATCAAGTCTGTGGCACTGAACCCCCCCTTTGATGATGTTATACCAGATTTGATGATGACATGGTCACACCTGGATGTTTGATTGATTTTTAGCATTGCAAATTTCTCCAGAAAAGTCTGTTTACATGCATTTATTCTCTTTACTTTTTGAGGGTATTAATGAGTGGGTCATTTATGGGACTGGTCAAAAAATGAATGTCATGCTCATGCATTCACAAAGATTATGGAGTTTGTGATTTTTACTCATGTAAAAATGTCTTAACGTTTGGGGCAAAGAGAGGGTTGTGGTTGACAGTTGCTTTAAATGATTCACTCTTTAATTTTTTTTTTTTTTTAATTTTAACATGCAGGGCATTTGGAGCTCCTTTCCCATCACATAGCTGTTCTCAGATGATGCAGTTTTAGTACAGATGATCCCAGCTCCCAGGGAGAGATTGTGGTACATTTTAAAAGATTCAGGGCCTCCCTGGTGGTGCAAGGGGTTAAATCTGAGCTCTATGAACCTATCAGCAGCCACTGCAACAAGAGTTCCATTCCCTGCCAAAGAGCTAACTTCTCCTGTCTCACCTGCTGCTCCCTTAATTCAGCAGTGTATGACAGGAGGAGCTGCCTGTTCTACCCCCAGCTCTGCCTCTGGTGAATCCTCTCACCCCCCACACTTCTGGCCTATACCCCAGCTCTTGTATGCATAAACAAAAAAATAAATCTTTTTTAAAAAGTAAATAAAAGATTCGGCATCATGGGCCTTCCTGGTGGTGCAGTGGGTTAAAGCACAGCACTGGGAAACTATCTGCAGCCGCTTTAGCATGAGTTGGATCCCCAGCCAGGGAGGGTGACCCACAAGGCTCAGCAGACCTTTCCTGTCCCCTCAGCAGTGTACTTTGTCCATCTGCCTGTTCTGCTCCCCACTCTGTCTCTGGTGAATCCTCTGACCACCCCTGCACCTCTGGCCAGTTCTGTATTCTTAAATAAATAAATCTTAAAAAAAAGATTGAGCACCTTATCCCACATCTTCATAACTGTTCTCTTTGCATGAGAATATAACATTTTACCTGTCTCTGAGAAAATGGTTCAGTTTAAAAGGATGATAGAGATTTGTAACTATTATTTATGGGAAAAAAGTATACTAATTCATAGTTTACATTCTAAATCTCACGATATTGTGGCTAAGGTTTTAAAAACTGACCTCTCCAATAGCAAGCAAAAATTATCTCCCCAAAATGCACTTAGCTTGTGACAAAGGGATCTTTATTTGCATTTATTTGACCTTAATTCAGGTTATTTCTAGTAACACTTTTTTTTTAAAGATTTATTTGTTCATACAGAACTGGGGTACAGGCCAGAGGCTCAGGGGCAGCGAGCAGCTTCACCAGAGACAGAGTGGGGAGCAGAACAGACAGATCTACTAAGTACACTGCTGAGGGGAGCAGCGGGCGGGTCAGGAGAGGTCTGCCGTGCCATGTGGTCACCTCCGGGGCAGGCGGGAATCGAACTCATGCGGAAGTGGCTTTAGTTTCTCAGTGCTGTGCTTTAACTCGCTGCGCCACCAGGGAGGGCCTCTAGTAACACTTTTAAGGAATTCTGTAAGTGGGAAATCTATGAGTAGGAAGATTCTGGGTCAGTGCATATCAACTATTTCTGTTTCATTATCTTCACTAGGGGCCATAGTAAGTAACCCATTCTAGTTTTGAAGCTAAAAGTTGGCAGCCTCCTTGTGAGTCTCACATAGACAATCATGACATTGCCTCTGAGGAGAAACCAAATGTTAAAACAGCACCAGAGCCAGTTTTCATTCAGGTGCCATAGTGTGGGAAGGGAAGAAAAAGCATGCATGTTACAGGTTACTGAAATAATCGCCAAAACTTTATTTTGAATTTGAAGACTAGATGGAAAGATGCCCTTTTTTTTTTAACTTAAAGATGGAATCAAGCCATGTTTAGCAAGTAAGTAAATAAAGATTTACTTATTTATGCATACAGAACTGGGGTACAGGCCAGAAAAGCAGGTGGTGGGGGTGGTGAGAGGATTCACCAGAGACAGTGGGGAGCAGAACAAACAGATCAATGAAGTACACTGCTGAGGGGAGCAGCAAATGAGACAGGAGAGGTCTGCTGCACCATGTGGGTCACTTACTGGCTGGGGAATCAAACTTGCACTGCAGTGGCTGCGGATGGCTTTAAAGTGATGAGACGTAACCCCTTGCGGCATCAGGGAGGCCATGTTTAACAACTTTTGAAGTCTTTTTTTATCTGGTTATCTTGAACTGTTATCTTGGTTATCTGGAACTTTTATAATCAGCTTCCTTATTTAAAATGGATATTTTCCTGATTTTCAATTTCAGTTTGTGGTTACATTCTTTTTTCTACTGCAGGAATGTTAGCTCTTCTTTATGGAAAGTTCTCATTGGTGGAGAAACTAAAAGTCATTAACATAAGTATATAACTTTCATTCAGGAAACAATTACTGCGCATCTACTATTTTGGCTTTTGTGCCAAGAATCTTTATAAATTAATCCATTTTCCACTTGGTCAATCATTGGCAAGATTTGGCCTCATTAAATATTGAAGCGAGATCAAAATAAAGTTAAAAGGTAATGTACTCTGTTTTGCAACAGTCATTTTAGGAAAGAAATTTTTACTTTTGCACATTAATATTTCAATAGTATAACAGTACTCAGGTAGATAATTTTAAAATTCTGTAAGCCCATGTGTGCGTCTCTTGTTTAATCTGATCTAGGAAATAGATAAACAAGTATTTGTTACCAACAGAGCAGTTGATTTCTGAAACTTAAATGTTTGT